TTTTTTAATATGTGGAAAAAAAAAAGAAGCTGCAATTTGCTTTCTTCCCTTAGCCAAGTTCCTGGTTGTTGAGCTGGCTCAGGCCAAGCTGCTGCAGTCCTGGTAGTGTTTTCAGTGACAGCCATTTAGGGAGGATGCTTTTATTAAAGAGCAGTCATATCTACATGAAGATACCTCTGCTTTCTTGCATGTTGCTGCTGGCTTGGAGCAGATAAGACACCTCCCTCTGCTCCTGTGAACCTCCATCTGTGCTTCAGCTCCATAGCCACTTCGCTGGGATGTTTCACCCTGGACCAGCAAGCCAGGAGATCTCTGCATTGCTGCTAGCCCACAGTGGGAGAGCAACAGTTAAATGCTGTTAATTTAGCTCAGAGATAACTGCCTTGGTAGGAGGAAAAAACACCCCTAGCCAAGCCTGAAAGTTTTCCCCATAAACAGTATAAAATCCATTGCCAAGAGCACAACCATGCTGGTTTGCAGTCCCCGTGGCTTGGATGCCTTTTAGTTGAAGCTGTTGTGCAAATATCACGGCCAAGCAGCTGTGGCCAGGGCTGGTGGCCTGAGGGAGCTTTTCTTGGGTGTCAGCACATGTAGAAGTGTGGCAGGATGTTGCTGGGGATGCACATAGCTGCTGGGTGTTAGAGCTGCATTCATCACCTTCCACTTCAGGCAGAAAGGAGTCAAACACCCTTGGAGGCCTTTTTAAGACTATTTTGGTTGTGTGATACTAATCGTTCCAATGAGGCAGCAGCTGGACATGGCAATAAAAATGCTGAGCAATTGTTTCTCTGCAGCCTTCCCTTTATCCTGGGAGCTAACAGCTGGGATTCACCTCCCCATCTGTGACCAGCAGCACCAGGAGGAGGCACTGCTGGGATTTTGCAAAGCAGCACCCTTTCTTCCCATCCTCAGCAAGGTGTGGGCATGCTGGTAGCCCTGCCAAAGCAGTGCAGCTATTTTATTTATAGGCAATGTCCAGAAAAGTAGATGTTCAGAGAGGTTTTAAAGATTGGCTCTGTATCAAAGCAGCAGAGGTCTTGTAATCATACAACTCTGCCAGCTCACAGCTAATATTCATGGAAGTGCAAGGGAGCCAGAGAGGGACTCTGTTAGGAACTGCAATGATAGGACAAGGGGTAATGGTTTAAAACTAAAGGAAGGGAAGTTAGGTTAGATACTATGAAAACGTTTTTTACTGTGAGAGTGGTGAGACACTGGAACAGGTTGCCTAGGGCAGTGGTGACTGCCCCAAGCCTGGCAGTGTTAAAGACCAGGTTGGATGAGGCCTTGAGCAACCTAATCTAATGGGGAGGTGTCTCTGCCCATGGCAGGGGGGGTTGGGACTAGATGATCTGTAAGGTCCATTCCAACCCTTAAATTCTATGATTCTATGGTGTTTTCTGCTCCCATTCCTCCCGCAGCCCTACAGCCCACCTGGCTGTCCCCTGGGTGCCTCCAGGCTGCTGCAGGCAGGGCAGCAGAAGAGACACGCAGAGCTGCAAGCTGGCATGGAGCAGAGCATGGGAGCACTAGGAGGAGCCTGTCCCACTCTGGGTTGAAATCCTCCTCCTTCCCAACATAGCAGAAACAGCCTCCAGGCAGGTGTCTTCTCACCCACTCCCAGCCTGCTGGCACGGGGTCCCTCAAGGGGCAGCTGCATTGCTGTCACCTCCCATCTGCTCAGGTTTGTGCTGGTACTCCCTGGGCTTGCTGAGTATGAAGTTTCCAATGACTCAGACTGGTCATTCGGGAGAAGTAATGCTGTAGAGCAGACACACCATTAATTTCACTTAATGGTATTTAGCACATTGATAGTTCTGCTCATGCCTATGGGACCCACTTGTGAACTGGTATTTTGACCACTAATCTTCAAGAACATTTGCATGAGCAGAGTTCAGCAGCGAGCAGAGACAGCAGCACGTGGGAAGACCAGCAGGGAATTGGTGTTCATCACTGCTGCAAGTCCAGAGTTTAAATTAATCTAAATGTGGGGGCCAGGGAATCAGACCCGAACGCCTACGAGCCTCCTCCTCTCTTCTGGCAGATGGCAATGCTGCTAACAGCACTTGCATAAGGTCCCCTTGCAGAACAAGCAGAGCTGGAGAGTTTTTGCTGGTTATTAAGTGATGGATCCAAATGAGGTTGTCCCAAGTGCTCAGTCATTACTGCAGCCTCAGATGAAGTCAGGCCAGTGCCACCGTGCCCTGGGTTACTGCAGAAGGGAGAATATGGGGGCCACTGCAGTGTGTTAGCCCTGCTGCTTCTGTCTCTAGGACAGTTTGTGCTGCAAGATCTCGTGGCTTAGCTGCAGGCTGGTTGATGACCTGCCAAGAGCACCTAAAAACTCCACCTTTATCATGCACTCCCACCAGGCAGGAGACAGCAGAGTCCTTCAGTGCACATCACAGGTCCTGGTGGCACAGGAGAGCATCTTTCATGCTCCAGATCAGCATCTCTGTGGGCTTCCTGTGTCCTTCTCTCATGCCACTTGGATTTTGTGGCAGCTTTTGAGGCTAAAATTCCAACTGCACCCTAACAAGCTAGCAAGCCTTCAAAGTCATGCAGGAAGGAGGTAAAGAAAATGTGCTTCATGACCTTGCCAGGCTTCTGGACTGTCCTCTGGTTATCTTAGTTTATCCTGGCATAGCATTTCCTAGTTCCAGTTTTGAAATGGTGTTTCCTCACTGTCCTTTACCTCAATTTTTATACTGGTAATATGTATTTTTTATATAACTGGTGCTACTCCACAGAAGGCTGTAAGCAAACCAGGGCACCTTGGCTTTCCTCAATCTTTCTGACGCTCATTGGTTGAAAACTCCACTGCTCATTTGCTTCTAGCACTCTCTGCATTTTTAATGATATCCATAAAAAAACGAGTCTGTTGTAAAAACCATAAGCCCCATAAAAAAGTGTGCTCTGTACCCTTTCCATTACTTCCGAGTAGAGCTTATTTTCTCTGCCCAAAGACACTCTGCAGATCAATAAAATACCTCTTTTACTTAGATCTTTTGGCATTTCATGCTGACTGATTTAGTCCCTCTAAGTCCCAAGACAAACTGTGAAGCAGTAAACTCAGGTAAAACCAAAAATACAATCAGATCCAAAACACTTTCCTGCTAAGCTAATCCTGCTGGGGATCCCACTAAAGGTAACCAGCATGGTCACTTTAACCTGTGGCAATAAATTACACCACTGCTAAATCAGGATTGCATGGCATTGCCCTGCACAGTTTTAGAGGGCCACCGAGGAGCAACAAAAGGAGAAGCTGACCTAGACTTGCTAGGTACTTCAGCTGCTAAAACAGGACATGAATCCAGCAGAGGAGCCCAGCAAGAGCTCCCATCCTACATGGCTGTGAGCACAGGCAGCACGGTAAGGACAGCACTGTGTGCAGGCTCTGGCTACTGCCAGGAAGCACATCATGTACCGCAGCAGGACACAGAGCCTGACTTCCTGGGTTCCTCAGCATCCTCGAATGTCTCCTGCAGCCATTAGCAAGCTGTATGTAGAGCCTGAGGAGACATGAGTCAGTGGCAATACTTATGAAAGCACACACACATCCCTGGAACATGATCTGCTCTTCTAAACTCCCAGCAGGCCACCTGCTGTAGTCCACCTCCCAGGAACTGGATACTTCACACCACAGGAAGCCAAGCACCAGCAGGAAGTGTTTCTGTAGAGAGATACCTATAAAAACAATTCTAGAAAAAGTGAATTAAGCAAAATTATAATGTGTGACATGTATAAAGGGTCCGAGTTGTTTTGGAAACCTCCAAAGGCATTTGACCCCCTCTGAGCCTTTCATTGCTTCCAAGTGGACCAATAATGGAATGTTTGCTTTTCACACAGACCTCTTATTTCATTAGAGTGGGCAGAAATGATGCACACATCTGAAGGACGTGAGGGATGTGAAAGTTGTGCTATCAAACCTCGCTCTCTGCTTCATTGACAGGCAGACTAATGAAGTTTTTTCCACTCTGTTCTTTGCTCTTTCTGTAACATAAAAGCTTTGATAATGTAATTAAATAGTCCCTTCCTGTTCCCTCCCAAAAAGGATGTTGAATAGACAACCCCTGCAATGTGCATTTCAAAAATGGAAGAACAGAAACAGACACATTCAGCAATCTTTTCCAATACACAGAACCCCAGTGGCACAGCCAGCCATAAAGACATGGTTTGAAAAAACCTTCATACCTACTCCATCTAAATCACAATGTGTTCAGTCAATCATGTAGATCGTGGTGTGGTACAAATTAAAACAATGCTTTTATTGATAGGCTTTAACGAAACATAGGTATCAGCATAAAAAACAAACAAAAGATAAAATTATTTCTTGCTGTACCTAACAGGCATTTCAATTTTTTCTCAGTTAATCAGCTGGAGGGGACTGACCTCTTCCCACTGACCTGTAGCCTGCAGCCTTTGCTTTAAAGGTTTTTAACTGCATTGATTTGTTCCCATGGAGTCTAAGGACTGTGATGAGCACCATGGCTGTGGCTCTTTTTCCTAAAGCCTGATCCCAAAAGGAGCATCATGTCCATTCTGCCCAAACATTGTACAAAGAGTTGTGCATCTCTGCAGCCTTCCAGACAAAGCTCTGACAGATCTCAGCAGAACTGAGGGCACTAACCTGGTTATACTGGAATGCAAACCCACAAAGTTAAGGATCCCTTTAGGACACATTTTCCTTCACAGTCAGTGAGGCTTGAAAAAGCCACAAGCTATTAAGGAAAAGTAAGATCAGAACTTAAAAGATTTCTAAGAAAGTTAAATCTAATACAAGTTTATCCTATAAATATTTTTTTCCTGTCAAAAGACAAAGCACTTATAGAAACATACAAGAAATAGTCCTGGGGTAAAAAAGCTACAGAAAATTACAAAGTATCAACTGCTTTAATTTATTTTTGCAGAATTGCACTGTACTCAGTCCTGTTTGTAAACCCACCAGAGTTCCCTCAGTGCAATCACCCTAACTCTCTCTTGCTTCATAAATACTTATGTTAATCACTCTTTTCTTCTCCTTGGTAGTGCCTGTATTCTGGCTTCAGCTCCCATGTGTTTTTGTGGGTCCCCTTCACATTGTAGATTCCTATTTCTCTCAAAATTTCTTTCAAGTATATCTGAAAGGAAACAAAAATTCAAATTATACAAACAGGCAATTGCCACATTTTCTACACAATCTGCTTGATCACATCAACTCAGTTCATGAGGGGCAGACAGCAAGGTTGGCTGATCTGTACTAACTTGTGCCATAAAGTCTTTGTGATAAGACTTCAACCCTCGAGCACCAACAGGGATTAGAGCAGCCTGGGTGTAAGCTCCAGGGATGCTGCAGGGAGCCCCTGAGCCCCAGGGCCGACAGCTCCCAGGCAATCCCTGTGAGAGGCAAGTACTATGGATGGATGCTGGCAGCTGCTGACATGAAGCTCCCAGCACCTCTTGGGAAGGCAATGCTGAAGTTATCTCACACATCTTCCTCTTGCTGGAATTCCTGCACTTGAGCTAAAAGCTCTTGGCCTTTGTTCTTGCTTGGGCTGGAAATATCTTGAAACTCTTTGCTTTATTCAGACTCCATCAAAGCCCCAAGCTGTTGGGTTTCATGCCACTTTGCAAAGCTTTAAGCATTTTATTATGGCCTCATTTTCTGAGGTGATCTGAGTCGGTGTAAGAGAATTTTCTAATACATTAAAATATTAAGGTTTGGAAGAGACAGAAAAAAACCCAAAACGCGTAAAGCTACGATACCAGTAGTATAACCTTTGACAAGCCACAGCTCACTAGCATTGCCCTCCTTTACTCTTTATAAGAGACACCAGTAATTCTCGGAAAGCCATTTGCTGTTTGTTTAAATATTAACTGGGACCGATGTGAGTGGATTGCCATGGCAACTGCAGACCACAGTTAAGAATCCCCACATTAAATTCATACTTGCTTTAGTTTGAGCAATTTAATCCTCCTCGAGTGCATATGTTGAGCTGAAGTTATTGGAATGCTTGTATTTTCTGCAACTACAGTTACACTAAGCGCAAATACCAACATACTCCAACTCATTAAAAACAGCAAATATTTGCTGAGGACACAGGGAGAAAAAGAAAGGCTGATAGTCCAGTCTGTTCCTTAGCTCTTCCACCTTTTGCTAAGTGGAAACGCTAGGAAATAAAGAAATAAAAAGTATGTTCTCACCCAGTAAAAGAAGTCTCTTTTAGTAAATCCAATCATTGCTCTCTCTCTCCAGGTACACATCAAAAATATGCAAAGCAAAAAAACCCCTACAGATTCCGCATTAATGATAACATTTTTGGACCAGTGTAGCAAAATTCTTCTTAAAACCCTATCTCAAATCAACGCGGGGTGTTTGTCCAACAAGTAAGAAAGGTGCACACACAGAGCCGTTCGCTAGGGTCGTGTTTCCGTGCTGCCTACGGGAGCTGCGAGCAGGGAGCCCTGCGGGGACAGCTCCCAGCGCTGGAGGCGCCGCCCCGGCAGGTGGCAGCAGGAGATCGCTGTACACCGCTCACACACCTTGCAGAGATGCCGTCACTACTGCACAGTCAGGTACCCAAGACAAATGCGCTGGCCACAGCAGCGAGTGCTGCGCAGATGTTTCTGCACAACGGCATTGCCGCTGCGACCTCTGCTCTTTTCAGCCGCTGAAAGCAGGTGAAAAAGTGACTTCTGCACGAGCACGTGTGGAAGTGTACACCTGCACGTGCACTGCTTTGTTGGCAATGCCTGTGCGTGCACACGAGGTAGATTTCGGGGGTGTCACTGACAGACACTGCAAAACAGCAGAGTGGGTGGGAGAGACAGTTGGATACAAGGCTCAATTCTGCTCTAGACCACAGGGATACATTACTGAGCACTGGGAAAAAACCCAATGGCACTTAGTGCCATGAAGTCCATCCACATGCAGTGCTGGGCTGACAGACCTCACCTGGTCACAAGGTGTGAGGACGCTGCTGGGCACAGCAGAGTGCGCAGCTCCCCGTGGCTCACTGCTGTCTGGCAGCAGTGTCTTTGGGTGACATACTGCAGGAGGCAGTTCTCACTTCTCACTACTTGCTCACTCCTCCAAAGCACCCATCTACCTATACAAAGGTTAATTTTAATTCTGAGTAGTGTTCAGACCCAATTCTCCAAGCAGTTCTGGTTCTCTTAGGGCAGAACTTCCAAAAGTTTTCACTCAACAGCATAATGAAATGGAACAAAATCAACCCAAACTTATAGCAAGGTAATGCCTGGGTCACAAGGGCACTTCAGCTGGAACAGAGAACTGCAGCAACTGAGGATTCACAACATACTTCTATTTGCCATCTTTGCTGCAGGGGGAAACAAAGCAGCAGTGGTTTTAGCAAGGGCAGCTGAGAGTGCTAACCCCCCAAAAATCAGTGTGTGTGCACAGACAACACAGAACTGTTGGAGTTTTTAGACAATTATGAATTGGGGATACTCCTGCTGTGCTGTTCTGTACTTGAGAGCAAGTGGCTTGATGAGATGAGTTCAGGGGACATTATGATTTTTCTACAGGATGACTTGTAGAAACCAGGACTTTCCACCTGGGTCTGCACTGTACCAGGCTGGCCTGTACATCTTGAAGCAAACTACTCAGGTACCCTACCAGTGAGAGAAACCCCACACTTCCCCCAGTTATGCCAACACTGAATTTTAGAGCCTGGTGAGTGCTTATCAGGGGCCCACATTTTTTTCTCAGAATGGGATTCAGTATGTTTACATACATACAGTTCTAACAAAGAAACTCATCTGTATGTAATTTGTACATCTAAGGCATCCTCTGCTCTGTGCACCTTCATGATTTTTACTAGGAAAAGTGATATGTTATTACAGAATTATGAGATACAAAATTCTGAGGAGTTAAATTCTAAGCTCTGAAAATCCTGAAACTTTGAAGGGAAAATAAACCTTGAGGAGGAAACAAATCCATTACCTAAAGATAAAATAAAACCAAAAAAGCAAACAATGTACTCCGTATTTTAAAAATACAGTTCATCTTAGACCACTGGTTCCATACCTGTTCCATTCTTCATAAATATTTGATTGCGCACAAAAAAAGCCTATTATGTTCTCAGCCACGAAGCTCAAATCTAGAATTATTTCCAGGGAGCACTCAGTACTTATGTCTGGGTAGGTGGCAACAGACTTGCCTACTACTGCAAATTGCTATTTTTTATTAAAATGGAAAACAAATAAACCCAGGTTTCCCTAATATAACAGTAGCTTGCATTCAGAACAGACTTGCTTTGTGATTTCATGATGACAAATAAAGAAGGCAGCAATTTCTTGCATAACGTGCAATGTACTCTGTAGCAAGGGTTTAATTTACTATTTGCATTTACCATTACATAAGAAAAAGACCCTTATTTTTTGGTAACTTCCAGTTCTCCAGTGGCTTAAGTGGGAGTTGTGGATGACTATTCCTAGCTGATGTCATGCTACACAGGATAAATCTGCACCTACTTACATTCAAAGTGATCGAGATAGTGACTGTCACACCTCTCTTACAAAAAAAAACATTAAAATATCTTGCTGTTCCCTCCATATCTTCCTCCTATTCCTTCCTCCTTCTCAGTTCCCATGATCCACAGAGATAAGGAGTTGACTCATGAAATAAATGAATGGAATAGGAGACACAAATATGTCATCCAACTAGTTTCTTCCAAGGTACGAGAACACTGTGAACCTAACATGAATTTGAGTTGGGTAGTATCTTTGTGCAGCTTCTAAACAAAAAAGGTTGTGCACCTCATACAAATGCTCTGACTTAACAGATACACTTAATCCTAAACATGAGGTAGGCATAACTAGTAAGCATATTCATTTTACCCCCTTTTTTTTGCAGAGGAGTATTTTTTCCATAATCCAGCTGCCACTGTTCTTCCTGCTGCCTTAGCTCTAACAACCCATGACACTGTTGCTCCATTTAGACTCAAACAGATTTAAGTCCCTTTAAGTCTTCTGAAATCTGCATCTGGGTTGAGGATAGATATTCCAGTTGCCAGTGAAAAACATCAAAAGCACCAAAGATACTTCACATGTCATCGTTACCTCCCTACTCCCACCTGCTCTGCTCAGAGAAAGCTTGAACAAGGGAAGAAGGAAAAGAACTGGAGAGTTAGGGTTCATAGATGAAAAGGCTGTCAGACTCTGCAAGATAACAAAACCATCACATAAGCAGATGTCTCCATGCTTTCCTTCTTTGTGTATCAAAACAGTGTTTAAAAAGCCCCCAAAATAAATCCTAACTATCAACCACCTAAACTCTTCACCTAAAAATTACTCTATTTGTAAAGGAAATCCAGTGATTTTGAGGGTGTGGACATGATGCCTGAGCTCCTAACATGGATAATGCCTGCATTTAATACTAGTTCCACGAAACACCAATTTCTAGACCCACAGAAGAATAGCAACTGCTGTTCCTGTGCCAAGATAAAGTTCAGAAGCTGAAGGAAGGGCTGACCACACGCTTACACAGGCTGTCTGCTGCCATGATAACTAGGCTTTAGTGGGGACCGGAGTAGCAGGGAAGACATGAGAGCATTACAGAATTTAGTTTCTAGTAAAGCAAATATAAGTATGAAAGAGACCAATCAGGTTATTTAAACCATCACTGTCAAGAAAAAGCATTCTCACTGCAATGCTTGGTGTCCTACACAGTCCTACAATGGTGAAGTGAAAAGCTGATGATTTCTGTTTGTTGTAAAACATATTTAGAGAGCAGTTTCAAGGGCATTAATAAATATTAAATGATTTTCTAGGTATGTAAAATATACACGATAGTAACTACTGAAAATGGTTGTATCTACAAGACTTCTAGTACATACCACAGGCTGTTTGGTTATGTCCACCAGGTCTTTAATGTTGTAATACTGATGTTTCTCAAAGGCTGAAAAAAGCATGTCCAACACTTGTTGTTTATCAGCTCGAGCTCGTTTTCCATCTTCTTTCTTCTTCTTCTCATATTCAATCTATCAGTTATAAAACACAATTTAAATACATTTGTATGTAATGCTGTATAATTCTCAGTGCTGAACATTAAGACACAAATACCTCTTCTATTTAATAAAACACTGTTCAATGACTCAGTGCTTTTCATCTGGAAATTTGCTTTTGAGCATTCAAATGTTCTTCTGTGAACAGAAACCAAGCATTTTGTCCTCAGCACAATAAGTTTTTCAGATGTGTATCTCTTCTTTGACCTGAAAAAATTGCAGAAACAGAACCTGTATGATGTGCCCAAACCTGGAGAGAGAATTAATATTAGTATGGGTATCCAAACTGAGATGGTATGTTCACTCCACCTCTGTTGGTATCAGCTTCTGAAGTGTAATGACAAATGTCAAACAACCTACAACTTGCTATACCTGGGAAAATCCAGAGACCACCATGGCTACATCTACAGTGATAACAACCACCTGCCCAAAGAATGCTCAGATGGCCCTTGGACATTGCCTCATCTGCTCCAGAAATGGCACTCAAGACATCCACTCAGTCAATACACAACCAATCTTCACCAAGGGAAGACATGCTTTGATGTCATGGATGGTTTCTCTTCAGGAGATGCCCAAGCAGCACACCCAGAGTTACACCAGTTCAAAAAACTAAACCTTCTAAGCAGGTAGAGGCCCCTTGCTGCCATACATCATTCTATTTCAAAATGCATATTAAAAATTGCTTAACGATTATAATCTGCAGAAGATGACCATATCTTTTTGCAGCAACTTTTATCGCTTCCAAAAATACTTCCTCTGATTCATCATAGAAAGCAAGATTTGCACAGACCAGCACGACCCAAAAAAACCCCAATCACCACAGAGCACCAACAGGAACACCTGCCAGCACATCGCCCCATCCACCCCCAACACCACCCTCAGTAACAGAAAACCATCAAGCTCCTTGGAACCAACAGAAGTGATCCAGAAGGTAATATAACTCATGAAATCATCAAGTTCCTTCAGGCAAACTGCGTGGGTGAATCCATAGCAGCACAATGTACAGCAGAAAAGATGCATGTGATCAATAAGGGACACGTGCATGGCTATAAGTGGGATAATACTGCATGGGACTCATTCTACCTCTGATGTCTCAAACACGATACTCAAAAGGAAGACCTTCGGATAAAAATTTCCTATGTTTCCTTGCCAGCTATCTCCCTCCCACTCTTGCAGTGAAAATAGCCTGTCTCTTGGTAGCTGTCCCAAAGTGTTAAAGACTATTACCACCTTTGCCATAGCTCACAGGTCTCTGGCCAGCCAACGCGCTCCTTCAAATCCTGAAATGGACGTACATCATTAAATTGAATATAGAGCAATTGTTCCCAACCTGTAGCTTGAAGTCTGTAGCTTCTGCTTGAAACCTTAGATGGGCTTGTCTGCTTATCCAGCTGTACATTAGTGTTATAAAAGCTACAATCTCACCACACAAACCCACCACACAATTGATTTTTAACCACTATAATACAGTTTAGTGTAATTATTTAACTCTTTAGCCTCTGCATTTAAAGAAGAACTCTTTGAAAACTGCTCCAGATTCTTTCCCTTTGGTAGTTCATGGTCAAACACAGAAATTACTACCCTGTAGGATATATTGTATGACATGGGAAGGAAAGCACACCTACAACTTTATGGTATCAAGACACTGACCCTGTATTCTCCTGGAAGCAGAGTTTTCTAATTAGCCACTGCAATCACCTGCAGCCACCTTCTTGAGCCTGAGTTTTCATCCTTTTTTGACTTAGGGATCCACAGAATCTTCCAGTTTCCCTGTGCAGTTGCTTATCAGGCCACAACTGATATCAGTAAAAAACACTCTACTGGATTTTCAGTAGAGCCCTATTACATTTGAGACACTGCCTTATGGGAAACTCGGACTAAGGACATTAAAAATGTTTTGAATACATGCACATGTTAATGTTTTACAAGAAGAGGAGATGGATTATCTAGCCTTAATTTGCTCCCAGAAAAGCACCCAACACTTTTATAGAGTTCAAGTCAAGAAGATGCCAGGAGAGATGAAGGTGTATCTATTTGCTTGACTGAGTTCTGGATTCCTGTATACACCTGAGGTCACTTTTCAGTGCAAAGACCTATACATCTGGTTCTGAGATTGGAAACTTTTATCTGACTCTAAAATACATCAGTTGAAAGATGTGGTGTAAAAGGTAAAGACAGTCAGTTACAGGCTGCATCATTCTGCCACAGCAGCAGCTATTGTACCAACCCTTGTGCGATCTTCTACCTTCCTAAACGACAAAACCAGAATGAAGAAGAAAACCAGAAACAAACTGCAATCTCCTCAGGTTAGGCTGAAGTGATGAAAGAAACTCCTTTTCTGGTTTTTGTTGTGTTTTTAAGGAGCAAGAACAAGAGTGAAGCACACAGGCTATTCCTTCTGTACAAGGCAAAGCTATGGGAATAATGGGTAAGCAACATGGTCGTAATGAGAAAAGCTGCTGGGACTCTCAAGGCAATCTCTAAGAACAACAGCAAAAAATCCATGGTACTGTTTGTACCTCTTCAAATGACATATAGCGAAAACGTGCTTAGCTAGCAAGTACCTACTAGCTATAACTCTTACCATATAGAGAAAAAACCCTACCTGCTTAAAAATTAATGCTTCCTGAACAAAGGAACAATGAGGAAATTCTTCACTGGTGTTAGGTCTCTGACAGCACTATTTCATGACTGGGTATAAGATCACAATCAAACATGTAACTCCTGGAAAATAACACAGAGTATCTTTCTAACCAATGCAAATCTTTCTTTTTCTTTTGTAGTAAATTGTAATACCCAGCATAATAAATTCTGTCATTTCAGTGCCTCAGTACACTCTCTGTAGTAGGAGCTTCTATTTTACACTCTCTGGATGAGCTAAAGGAAATCAGATAAGAGTGTCTGCATTCCATATACAAATGCAATGTGAATATTCTAATATTCTGAATTCTTTAGTGTATGAATTCTACTCATGTAGAAAACTGAACATCAAACCCTCCCTTTATTGAAAAGTTATTTGCAGCTGGTGTCCCAGTTGCCCACATTTTAATTAGCAACACTCTAGCATTTCCCTCCGACTTCAGCACCAGCCCCCACTGTTGTCTAAACACACAGAGCCCATTGTGAAGTGCTGTGCAAAAATAAAAAAAAGAGCATGGTATCTTCTGTTGCTATTTTCTTCTGTTTTGTCTTGTGAATACACTGCTCATAGCAAGTTACAATTCAGCCTTTCATTTTTTTCCTTCCTGTTTTCTTTGCAAACAAGATCTTTTATGCAGTATGCTCAAAGCCTTTTTGATAGTCATATTACCGAATGCACCTACACTACAAACTAATTAGATTTCTTTTAAGTTGTGTGTTTGTTTAATTTAAAAAGCATTCAAATATGATTTGATTTCAAGGAAGGACCATTTTGAAACAAGCTGTTTAGCGTAGAAGTTGTCAGTTTATCCCTGCAAGACTTCATACTGAAATCAATTTCTTTTTGTTTACCTTCCCAGGATGTGGCTAAGCTTACTGAAAAGCTGCCAAAATTACCTTCTTGAAGGTACCATTAATACTGAAGCTGATCTGGCTGCTTCAGTAGACAGCTAATACGAAGCTGATAGAGAAGTGAGGCTAAATCTAAAGTTTCATCTGAAGGTGTCTGAAAGAAGTCTTAAAGGTTTTCTCACCTCCTGGAGCACAAGTACCATCCTCTGCAGTACAGGATAGATGGGAAGAGGGAACCACAAAGAAGCCTCTAAAGGGGTAACAAGGATCACTAGAGAACTCTTCTGCTGTATTACAAAAAATAATTAAGTCCTTGAAAGTCTCCAGCTGCAGGAATATTGCAACCTTGTAAACATGACTAACATTTACAGATATATAGAAAATTAAGGTCCCTTTCCCAGAGAAGAAAAGCTATCTTGACATATATTGCAATGGAATTGCAATTTCTTCTAATAAAAAAGTTAGGCTTAATACAATTTTTTGAAAAAAAACCCCTCATCGCTTTCCCAGTCATTGAATGCAAACAAGCTATTGCTATTTCCCATCCACATGTAATTTATTTCCCTCTCTCCTGTTCTATGTTCATTTTTAGGTACACCAAGCAGCCATGCTTCAGGAAATGTTAACCCTTTACTTCTTCTTTAGTACATACTCATTCTTTCCTCAGAAACTGACCAGATGATGACTGAATGTATAAGCATATATGGTAGTTTGTACCATTTTTCTTCTTTCTTGTGAGAAGTCCTGTCCCCAACACAGCAGTCATATGAGTACAAGCAATGCAGCAAGCTTTAGGAAAGCAATTGCTCCTTGAAAACAGCAGACAAACCCAAGCAAGAGGTTTGAAAAGTTCAGGGACTTTTTCTCCCAGTTGTACAGCCTTTCAGCCATCTAACCTGAACCTTAATAAAAGACTTAATGAAAAGAAAGATGTAGAAAGCAGTTGTGCCTGGACCTTTAGAGTCAAGGCAAGGTCAAGGGTGACTCAGGTACAAGTATGTCTTGCTAGATTATTCCCATCAGAACACCTTTAAGGTAGACATGAAAAGTAAACACATTGCCAATGGATTTCTATTACCATGGACACCTTTGTAACCGACAATAATATTAAAATTAGGGCACGAGAGCATCACTTTTAAGAGGCCTCATTATGTCCTGTTATACCCTCTCCATCTCACACAAGACTTAAACATTTCTCTAATGATACAATGACAGCAGTTTGCAACTGGAATAAAGACACAAAGATTTTCTCCAGGTTGAAGTCATAGTGTTGTAACTATGCTACAGTGTCAGGGAAATGGCACAGCATCCCACTGAAGAGAGAAGCTTATTCCAGAATTAAAGGAGAATAACAGTAGCATCATAAACCAACATACTCATATAAAACTCATCTGCATAGCAGGATACACCAGTGTGACTATTTTGGTTAAATGTCACTCCCTCAGCTGAAATTGTTATATTGGTCTGATCCTCTATGTACAGATCAGACTTTGAACAGTAACTACTACAAAACAGTCCCATGAGAAACGAGTTTTTTTGGTTCTGTGGAAATAGACTGCCTTTCATAATAATGCTTAAATATCATCCAGTATATTGTCATTTGTTTTATGTAAATAAAATCTTAATAAAAAGTGTAAAAGTTTAAATGACTAACACAGTGACTCATTTTCAGTATGACTTAACGTTTCTCACATTCAGCAGTAACAGTGATTCTATATGCATACATACCAATTACTCAAAGAGGATCTTTAAGGAAAAGGACATTACAGTTTGTATGTACATCTACTGATCCAGAACAGCACCGTGGGTGTAATATTGACAAAGCCAATGATGCAAATAACATGAACTGTGAAGGTATGAAACTGTGAAAAATTATCAGCTGTTATTCTTTTCTACTTGTTGTCAATTCCTGCAAAGGTCTGGAAACTAATGATTCTTTTCAAGTCTTTTACCCTCCTCCAGATGATATTTTATTTGGCTCAAAGGAGTGCTTCCACACCTCACAGCACAAAGTCAGAACTGCTTTTTATACACAAACTTCAGAATTACATTAAAAAAAAAGACTAGAGGAAGGATGTAATAAAGACACTCAAAAAGGTTTGGGTGAAGGTGATCTGCCCTCTGTCAGGTACCATGAGAGAGTTAGAATTGGCAGACCTTAGGCCCAAGGGTGATATTTGTCTTGAGATAGAAAGAAGATCCCCAGAAGACAAAATCAGGGAGAAACCAGATAACATGGAGCATTTCCAAAGACAATGGCCAACTGTGAGCAAAAGAACTGCAGGACAAAGCAGGGCAAATTTTAAGTCTTAAGCCAAACTCTTCCTGAAGAGGAGAAGAAGGGAAATTACTGGAAGCTACTTACATTATATTGATGATTAGCCACTGGTTTATAGTTCGTGGTTACAGCCTTGTCCAGCTGCTGTGATAGCCTGACAGGTTTAGAAGATTCTTCTATCTGTAATCTGCAAAAGAAAAAAAAGAACTAATAAAAACTTCAGACAAGCACACACTCAAAATGAATTCTAAAATATCTGCAAATATGAACCAGCCATTATCAAAGGTCAGCTGCAAACAAATCATAAGGCAAAACAGATGCACTTTCTGAATTAAGTTTTTCAAACACTGTTTTTGCTTGAGGACACTGAATTACTAGGGCACTACACGCTACAGAAGATACTGAAATGCTGAAAACCAAGCCACTGTGAAGGGAGGATACTAAAAACCATGTCTGAACACAAATTTCATTCCAAAAGCCAAGATGAAACCCAACTCAAACCCAGAATCTCACAGCTTACTCAGCTGAGGGATGAAAAAGCCTTTCATCCACCTCTGCTGACTCCATGACCTTCTCTTAGACACTTTAATGTAAAAATACAAATTTCTGTGACCTTTCTTCGGGCATTATAGTACAGTAAGAGAGCACAAATAACAGTTTTAAGAGCACTCTTAAAAACATGAAGATAGAGAAATCCACCCAGCTTCAAACCAGTGTACAATCAAGTCTCAAACACACAGTTAGCCATAGGTGACCTTCAGTACTCTTTGGGAAAGACTCTGAGAAGGTCAGAGGTTGTAGACATCTTGTCAAGCTCATCTCTATGAAATTTAAAGCTGATGTATGATGGGGTAGAGGGAATGTTCCATTTACTTCAAGTTTAGCACTACTTGAAATGCATACACAAGAAACCAAGCTCTAGAAAGGTGCAGGACAATGTCCCTTCAGAGAAAATAGCTTTATGGCACATACAACTAATATGTTAAAATCATTGGTAAAGCTGTTTTGTTTTCAAAGGTGTATCTTTTAGGCAGAAGAGTCAATTTCCACTAAACATAATGTAAGACTTACAGCCCAATAAATGTACAGTGATGCTTGTTTCTTTCTAAACAAAAATTAATATGGTGACATTAATTCAAATAATAAATGCATGTTTATTAGAGTAACACATAAAAGTGATAAAACAGTTCTTTAAAAATCACTGTTTGAGATCACTGATTTAGGTTTGTAAAGATAAAATGTAGACTGAAAAAGCTAAAATTTAAATTCAGTATGCTTCTGATTTAACAACTGAACAACATAAATAAATTACATTTGAAGTATTAAATTAAGAAATCAATTCTCGAGCTGTAGCAACTGGAAATGAAGCTAATCATCCTTCATTGCTGGTATTGCTGGACAGTTAAGTGGGGGCAGTTTTGTCTCATACATAGAGAGAAACTTGTTTGCTCTTGAATCTTTGCAGACTTGTAACTTGTTTTATAGTTTTAACTACCCTTAGGCAAATCACTGCCTTGTATTCTACATCTCCATATCAATGCTGCTTTCTGACCAAACAGAGCATGTTTCTTTCTTAGCTTGAAGGAAAATCAATTGGAAGGCAAATGAACAGTGAACACTTTTTACTTACCACAAGAGTTTATCTACTGGCCTTCAATCTAATTAAATCATTTTAAAGATTGTATTGATTTGGTTACCAAAGGGCTTCTAAACTCATGTCTCACATAGAGGCACAGGCTAAAGCTAAATCAATATATTTTCTACAAATCTGCCTTTTTCTCCATTTCTCTGTTGTTTAATTACTTTCTTTTTCATCTCAATGAATTCTTAAATTTTTTAATTGTTTGGATTTATTTTTTTTAAAAAATATTTTTTTTTGTTTGCAGTTCTTCACCACGTTTCCTATTGTTTTGACCTGGAGAGTTTTCCAGTCCTCCCTCTCCTCCATTCTAACTACTTTTCATCTCACTTCTCCCCTCCCACATACTTCCTTTTGTAAAGGAGATTTCCCGCTCAACCAGTTTACTGGTATTGCTCCTGTTTATGAGACTGGGCTGCTGGAGACAAACTGGGGATTCTTGTCACTCTTTTCCCTTCCAAGGCCACTGCACCAACTTCCCATGCACCAGATGTAGTTATTTGCTTTGTGATGCTGTTCAAGTCCTTCTCATTACTGCTGCAGCACAAGGGCCTAGCAGTGCTTAAATACATCGGATTGGTGTCACATTTTCAGGAAATGCTAGGCTTTAATGGGGCATTTCTTCATGATTAAACCTCCCTGCACTGGGTTTTGTAGTCATTACTCTTTACAATCCTCCATTTCTTCAGGAAAACAGCCAAAGAACATTAGTCCTTCAATGATGAATTGTCAGTCATGAACTTCAGACATCCCTCAATGTTCAAGGTCTCTTCCTGTTCCGGCATTTTAAAATTACAATGCAGGAAATTTCAACCTCCATTTCAGCTTCCACAAATTTATCCTTCTTTGCATAAAAAGTACCATTTATTTCTTAACATCTTTCACTCACCGTGCAGTATATGCATTTCAGCTCTTTTATTTTAACCTGCCAATTTCCAAACCAGTAGAAAACCAAATGTGTAGAAGAGCTAATATACTTCTCAGAGGCTCCCTCCAAAGGTTGATGGCAGTGAAATTAAGTTTAACATGTCAAGTTCCTCAGCACACAATCTTGAAAGCAAAAAAAAACCTTACTGCTTGCTTAGGAAATGGAATGGAAGCCTACCAAGTGAAAATGGAAATGGACCATCTAAGTTCCTTTGTGAAATGGCAAAAGACTTCAGAAAGATCTACACATAGCAAGTAACAAATCCATCAGCTACAAATGTGTCTCTGAAATTGCAGAGGTATTTGTGTTGTTCTTGCCAAAGGTTTCCAAATTACAACCCACAGATGTCAGATGGTCTTTAGAAAACTGGCTCACAGTAAAATGTTAACCTTTTTTTGTTTCTAGTTTTCTGCTGTACTGAGAGCTAAAAAAATACTACATTCCCTATACTACTTTTTAATGCAAACCATTATGGCAGTGGCCACATGCCAATATGGAAATTTATATGGGAAGCACGGTGACTCAGGAGGCAAACCTTTTTATTAATAGCATTTATTCTACACACGCATCTTGCTCTTCTCCCTAATGGCTGTCCTTTTCATTTCTTTTTCTGTGGCTTTCAAGACCTTACGGAGAATGACAGAGCCTCAGATTACCTTCCTTGCACTGGGCTTCCATGGGGAATATCATCACACAATCCTATGTGGAACAACAGCTGCCACATATTTGGAGTTAGCCGCCCCAAGATGCATAAATACAGGTAAGGGACTGATGCATGAGCTACAAAACCACAAATTAGCAAATGGTTCACGTGTGGATGAAGCACTGAAATTTGCTTAGTGCAATACAAAGGGTAAAGACAAACAACCTGCAATCATTTTGTCCACATGATTTGTTGATACAGACACTATTTGCAGGGAAAATACAGCATGGAAGCTTGGGGTTTTGTTTACAAAATGATGCCACAAGTCTCTTGTATTCACAAAGTAGTATATCTGGGTGAATATAATTGACTTTTTAAATTGGCATAGCTGCTGTTTGAAAATATTTGATGAAATATATATATTTATACATTCCAGTAATTATACACTCACAAATACATAAGCTATGAACTAGACATTATACTAGCCTTTTAGACACATGTTTTAATGTGTTACAGATAAAATTCTTTTAAATGTTCATTTCTTAAACAGAATTCAAAAAGCAGTATTAACCCAAAATATAAGGCAGCATTTTATACAGGGTTTTCTCAGTGTGGATCTGCTGAATCTTAATTGAAACTGCTGGTAGGAATAAAGAAAAAAAAATCAATAGATAATCTGAGTCGCTGGTGACAATGATTTAAAGGAGCAGTAGCTTTTTACCTGTTACTCTCTATGATGATTTGCAGGAGTTAAAAGCCATAGTTATGTCTCAGAACTGCACACAACTCTCCAAGGAATTAAATTTTCCACTGAACTCTTGTTGAAATAGCTAAAGCCACAACTCATGCTAATATCTGGCCTGAAAAAATAAGAAGAGAATGCAGATTTCTTTCCCTCCAAACTGCCAATAAATTAGCAACAGAGCAGCCAGCAGCCTGCACACTGTGGTTTTCTCTTCCACCCCCAAGATCACATATAGTTCTTCTGCCTTGAAATACAGCAAGTAACCAGCACAGCACTGAATTCATCATGGCCATTTCCCAGCAAAATACATTTTATACTGCAGCTCTGATTTGTCATTGTGCTTACAGTTGAATCAGGGGGGGAAAGCCATTCAAACAGGCTGGAAATAATTCTATATGACTTGTCAACATGCAGCAGGCTCACACAGGGAAACGGATGAAGACAGTATGTACATTCCTAGGGGGAGACATTAATTGGCTTTTAAATACATGCATTTTCCAGCAATAAAAAATAACCAAAGACCTTTAGAACAGATGATCTACTGTGATTCATCTTTTGTCACAAAACAAATGTTTCAAAGATTTGAAGCAGGTATTAATCAGAAACACTGCCAGGACTTGAATTCTTTACATTTCTAAAGAAATTATTGTACAGACGAGAGAGGAAAGTTTCAATACCTTTTTGTGCTTGGCTGCATGTACACAGGGCGCTAGTAAGTAAGACGTCAACCCGACTGTTGCAAAAAAAGGAAAAGTAGGGTTTCTTCTCTCTCTACAACATCACCAGTAGAGATGCACTGGAAAAGAGCAGGCCCTCTGCCCAAAGCTTTGGAGGGGAAGAAACACAACTTCTCCAGCTCTTCACAGTTTTGCAGCTTTTTATTTTTCTGACTCCTCATATAAGTTCCCAGCCCAGTACCAGGGAACTGAAAGCTAAGGACTAATGCTCTCATGGTCCTTCACTCAGTAATTCTGTACTTGAACCAAACATTGACAGCTGCATTACATGAAGTTTCATGATGCCTGATATGGGCCATGAAGTTTTTTTTCTTTGCTTCCCTATTTTGCTAAGCATCCCAACCATGACAGAGGTGGGTACATCCTGAACAATCTCATCCAAAACAAACTAATAAAATAAAGGCAACAATACATCCTCACACTTGCTTCTCTTGTGTACATTTGGACTATTGTACCTTGCTGAGGTTCAGGTAGTATCTCCAATTTTTAATTTTC